AGCGGGCTTTAGCCAATCCGAATTCCACAAGAAATATTAGATTACCAAGAAAGATAAATTGAAACAGTCAATACATTATAAAGATCCGCTTTTCAACTCATGAAAGAAAATCAAGGAGCAGAATGTAGCTAACTATGATGGACCGGGAAACGATACTTGACGGAAAGACATTCTGTTAAACTGAAGCAGAATGACAAACGATGACTCTCGGATGACTGGAGAAGGAATTGTTTTATACATCATGTCGGTGACCGGTATTGTGGCTAATGGCTTCGCTGTTCTCGCCTCAGCCAGGCTTTTGAAGATGCAACCACTTAGCCCGAATGTCTTTGTGCTGGGGCTGTCTTGCGTCGATCTTCTATCACTCAGTTTTTTCTCGTTGCCTTCGTGGTTGTTCTACATCAAAGGGGAATGGATTGGTGGAAAAAGACTTTGCGATTTCCAAGGGTTTGTCTTTTTGTTTGCGACCCTTTGCTCGGCTTTTTTAGCTACATCCATGGCGGTAGATCGTTGTATAGCGGTAACGAAACCGTTTTTCCACCGCAAAACGATGACTGTGAACAAAGCAAAGCTTCTCATTTTAGGAGCAATAGCAGCCTCTTTCCTCATCTCATTTTTCCCGATTTTATCATTCGGAAGCTTCGTGCGAAATTTAAGCGGTTCATTTTGTACTGTGAACTGGTTCCCTCAGAATGCCTTGGACAGGGCTTTCTGTGTCTTCTACGCAGTTCTTGGCGGCCTACCGGCTATGGTCGTTCTAGTTTGCAACATCACGGTCATTTGGGAGTTGTTCAGAAGTAAGCAAAGACGAGTTTCTGTTACGAACATGATTCTGCCTGGAGCACAACAAATGGCACAGGCGAGAAACACCGAGCGAGACGACACGGAGACACAGTTTTCAAGAACGATGGTCTTAATTTCCGTAGTTTATCTATTTGGGTGGATTCCCTTTATGGTAAGAACTAACTGCTCAATGTTATAGCTTCATGTCTTTTTAGCGAAAGATTGTACCTAATCAAGACGCTAAATRACTTCAACTTTAACTTGTCAAAAAACCGCGAAATCCGGTAAAAAATATATACATCGCTACGAAACCTTCAAAGTATTTACCATTAAATTCAGGATTAAAGCTTTCTGGGCGATCAACTCCAGTTATTATTGCTTTTAATTATCACTTTAACCGAAATCTGATAAAAAATATCACCAGAAGCAAAACTGTATTAGTTTTTCCACGATTGATAATGCGGCGTGTCACGAAGCTAGCAGACATCACTTTGCTCCTGTTATTTACACTCCTGACTATTGTGCAGCGAACTATTAATTTACATTATTGTGAATTTGATAACTCCAAAATTGACTAAGCCGAAAGATGTCTGTCTGATGTTCGGCAAATAGAGAAGCT